AATAATAATAATAATAATAATAATAATAATAATAATGCTACCTGCCCAAGAAAAGCATCTTTCTAGATCCTGTTACATTCTGTCCCACTCCCAAAACTGTATAAATACGTTTTATACCTGAGGCTTTAATAACATTCAGTACTGGATCTGAAGGTATGGGTTCACATCCACAGAAGCTTGTGCTAAAATAAAAACCATTTAGTCTCCAAGATGCTGCCACATTTCTTTCTTTTCTTCTGTTCCCCTTCCTTGCTCCTTTTTTATGCTGCAAGATATACAGTGGGCTCTCCATATCCATTGGGTTGGTTCCAGGAACAGTATTTTAATATTCCATGGATGCTCAAGTCCCATTAGTATAATGTTTTTAACGCTATTGCTTGTTTTAACGTGTATTTGGTTTAATCTTGTTTTAAGGGGTGAGTGGGTATATTTGGATGGAGGGAATGTTTTTTAGCTGTATTATTTTAATTGCTGTAACCCGCCTCGATTGCTTTGCAGAGAGGCGGGCTAAAAATAAAATTTATTATTATTATTATTATTATTATTATTATTATTATTATTATTATTAAATGCAACGGCAGAGTAAAATGGTGTCCCTTATATAAAATAGCAAAATCAAGGTTTGCTTTTTGGAATTTATCTCTTTTTTGGAATATTTCCAAGCCATGAATGGTGGAATCCGTGGATAAAGAATCCGTGGATATGGAGGGCTGACTGTACTTTTTTGAAAAAGAGCACTGTGATTCCAGTATAATTGCCATGGCTCCAACCTGTGGAATCCTGGAGTTTGTAGTTTGCTAAGGCATTAGATCTACTTGGCTGTGAATTGTAGATAATCCACCCTCAACTGCAAATCCCATGATTCCATAGGATGGAGCCATGGCAATGAAAGTGAAACCATATTGCTATAACTATATAGTGTGAAAGAACTAGGGAGACTCCAAGTGTTGCATCTTTCCTTGTCTCAGAATTGGTCCTATGGTGTGACTTCTCGGCCTCTCAATTGGAATCTTTCTCTCCATCTCTGCTTTCCCAGGCTCTGGTGTTTACATTACGCGGGGGCAGCTGATGAACTGCCATCTGTGTGCAGGTGTGAAACACAAAGTTCTCCTGCGACGCCTCCTGGCCACGTTCTTTGACAGGTAGGTATGGCAAAGCAGGTTCCCTTTGTCATTTTCAGGTCCAAGGACTAGTTTCCAAGAAGGAGCAATAGATGCAGCATTGCTCAAACCTGGAGTGCCCTTCTTGTTCATCTTCTGTAGAAGTACTCAGGGGACGGGGAGTAGAAATCATGCCAGATTCAGCTGGGCTATATATAAGTCAGGGGTTGGGAGCTTTAGAACTTGAAGCCAAATCTGGCCCTCCTAGGTTGCATGTGAGTCTTTCCAAATGGCTGTATTCACTTCCCCATTACATCTTTTTTCAAAACCAGTCTCCGCAGTCTTGCTGCAGTCACAGCAGCTCACTAGCCTTATTTATTCTACCCAGACATCTTGCTTATAGCAATAGTAAGTACATTTCTATACCACTTATCAGTGCACTTAAGCACTCCCTAAGTGGTTTACAATGTGTAAGCCAATTCTGCCCAACAAGCTGGGTACTCATTTTAGCGACTTTGGAAGGATGCAGGCCTGAGTCAAGCCTGAGCCCCTGACTAGTATTGAACTCACAACCTTGTGGTTTGTAAGTGAGCGGCTGCAGTGCAGGCATTTAACCACTGCGCCACCAGGGCTCTTTGCTTGTGTTCAGACATCTAACATCAGGGAGTGAGGTTTGTTGTAAACAGCTGTGTTGGGAGATGGGCAGGATAAAAATTTAAATAAATAAATATCACATGGTGCACAGGAGATACGTTGTCCCATGGAACTGTTTTTTTAAACCCTCCTCCCAAAGAATTATGTTCCCATATACCTTGTGGCAGTACAATTCTCCTTGAATATAACCAATGCCTTGGTTTCACAAAAAACAAAAAAAAAACCCGGCATTTTTTTAAAAAAA